ATATGAATATTTCGAAAAATAAGAAAAATGAAAACCATCCCCAATAGGAGTTAATATATATAGCATGCGTATATATGATGATTGAGTTATAGAGTTGTGTATGTTATGATCGTTGTGAATGCTATTAAGTTTAAATCAAAGAAAAATAAATTTAGACTTGTAAGTCATGCATTATGAAAGAGAATTTATGATTACTTTTATTATTACTTTTAAATTATATTACAATTATATTATTATTGTTACTTTTAAATTATATACAATTATCTTTCATTATTTATTTTTATTAATTACCATTCGAATTTTAAATTGTTCTTATACTTTTTCTTACTCTATCTAGCAGTGTCAAGTGTTTTTACATGAAAATTTTTCTATTTAAATTAAATTTGTTTCATTTTATACGATTAATTCTTTAATTTTTGTGATAACACTTAAATTGAGCAAGATTACGCAAGTTTGTGATGTTTTGTATAATATTTTGAAGAAGAATTAAATAACCACTACTTTAGTTGGAAGAGGAAATGTCTTTGAATGAATTGTAATATAATAATTTCATTTAAGAGGAATTTAAATGAATTGTAATATAATAATTCCATTTAAGAGAAATTTAAACCATTTGGATTTGAATAGGAAGATTCTTCAATAAGTATACGTATACTTAGGTTTCATTGTATAAAATTAAAGATAATACTATTTGGATTAAGTAAATAATAAATAAAGATAGTATCACTTGAGTTTTACTGTTCATTCTGATAGTAGAATTTAACTTGGTGCCACAGTTGTTGATATCAAATCGTTCGTACGAATAACACATAAAATTTTTTTGATAAAATTTTGATAAAATTTTGATGAATTCAACTTGGCGCCAATTTTGTTGATATCATCAATTATACGAATATGATAGATATCATTAGAGTTAAATAAATTATTTTTTCTTTGGGAGGAATAAAATGATAAAATTTAATTTGTTCGAATTACATGGAATTTAATTTGGCGCCAATTGTTGATATCAATTCTTTTATACAAATGATACATATCATTAGTTCTACTAAACAGCAAACACGTGATTAGTTATCAGTTTCACGGCCGATTAAGTAATTGGCGTTGGTGAAACTGTCCCAAATGATGATTCTTTACGAGAAGCACCATTGGGTCAGTTTCACCAACGCTTAGCTCTTTTTTTACCTTTTTTTTAAAAAGGTAAGTTTATATATAATTTAAAAATTTCATAGAGAGAATCTTTTATACACATGATATTTATTATTACCATATAAATCATAAAAGATTGTCGATGCACCACAGCACAATCATCACGAATGTCATTGCGATCAATTTGTTTCGTATTAATAAAAAATTCTCTAACTAATCTTTCTCCTTCTTTTTCGTTGGCTGTAAATTTAAGACGACAATGTTCACCATGATAAGAAATTATAACAGAAACCAATTCAGGAAGAATTACCAATGTGAGCCAACACAAAATGTTTTTTGCGAAATAATAACTGTCATATATTATAAATCACAAGTATAAATTACAGACGTTTCGACATCATTATTGTGTGTGCTTCAGATGTATAAACCATATTCTAGATATAGTAAGCAAGTTTACTTTATTTCATTGGGACGCTTATTACATCTAGAATTTTAAGAGGACACAATAATGATGTCGAAACGTCTGTAATTTATACTCTAGATTTATAATATATGACAGTTATTTCACAAAGGAACATCTTGTGTTGGCTCACATTGACAATTTTTTCTTAATTTATTTGTTAAATATTTAAAGAAGCCTTCGATTTATTATTACCGTATAAATTATAAAAGGTCGTCGATGCACAAATCCACAGCACAATTATCACCAATGTCATTGCGATCAACTTGTTCCGGATTAGAAATTCTCTAACTAACCACCTTCTTTCTCCTTCCTTTTCATTGCCTGTAAATTTAAGACAACAATGTTCACCATGTTAACCTTTGACTATATAATATGGACTGCTAGCACTAACTTCAGACTGGTAGCTAACCCATGCATTAGAAAGAGAGGATCATGAATCAATCATCTCCGATGTTAAGCCCCGCCCCATCGACCAAAAGCGCGGCAAATTCAAATGTACTTTAAGTTGTATCTGTTATAAGATACTTATATTTTTAGTTTAACGGGTAGAATTAGTTTAGTTTTTACTAAATTTGTAATATGTACTGTGTATTATGCGTTATTATTATAAATATTCACATGAATATTAAAATATAATGATAAATATTGAAACATTTAAAGACAAAAATAAAAAAAATAGTGTAAAAACAAGATTATTTAATCTCATTTCAAATAAATAAGAGATCAAATGTGATATGCATAGATTAATATAATAAAAATAGATTATATTATATAAATTAAAAACAATTTTTTTAATGAAATAGAATTTGCATATTATACAATGCAATCTAATAACATCATATAGTTTGCAAATTTTGAGCAATTTTTAGTGCAAAGGGGAAACAACTTTTTTACGTATTTTGAAGTGCTGAATTCGGATCTGTTGTAAAAAGAATCGAATCAAAATTTTATAGTATGTTAGTGAAACGCTGTTAAAATAGAATTTATGAAAAAATTATCATGAAACAGTTTTGTCGTATTGCACATCTGTCGCTAAATGTTTATTTTTTTCATTCATCTAATTCTTTTCAAATGATTTGAGTACAACAAATGATGAGCAAGGCGAATACTAGGATTTGATGATAATTGAGAAACATTATCAAAGGAACGTAAACATGTTAGATGGCTACTGCTGAACTTCAATACGTACAGTGAGTACAAAAAATATACGGAGAAAATATTTTTTAAAAAAACTTTATTTTATAAAATTAAATATTATCCAGCGAGAAATGAGTAATCGAATTGATGTCGAATCGATATCGATACGCTGATTTCAACACCAATTCGACGTCGATTCGACGTTTAATTGATAATTTCTTGCTAGGTAATTAACAATTTATTTATAAAATATAAAATAGACTGTATGTTTCTTAAAATTATATACCAAAAAGATGTGTATTAATTATAGAAAATATATCATCTGAAAAGTAAGCGAAAATTAAAAGTTCCATTGTTTGGATGCTCAAAAAAAGTATTCGTACAGTCGAGAAATTAAGCTTATAATATCAGAAATACATGCGAAGCTCATTTGTATATGTTAGAACAGACTGTATTCATTGTATAAAATTGCTAATTAATGTTTATTTTCTCCAAATAAGACTTTTTTTATAAAAAATTTCCTTGTACGAATACTTTTTGCTGTCACTGTAAATCAGCTCCAAAGTTATATAAAAAATAAAAATGTATTTAATACATATTTAAAAAATGGCATTACTTATAGATACCTTTAACATTATAATATACTTTTGTATACTCAGTCTTAAATTATTGTTACTTTGGCACTTTGTTGAAAATACATAAAATTATTATAATTTATATTCTTATTGGCCTTGAGAAGTTATACTTTTTGTAAAATGATGCCTAATAAACGTATTATGCGCTTTTAGAGTTATTACTTTTCCATAATAATGTAATTTTATCTTAAAAAATACACTTCTAATTGATTTAATTATCACAAACTTATGATCCTCCATTACACTAAATGTTTGTGCAACTTCACGACTATGCGAGTCAAAATTCTTAAATAATGCAATTATACGTATATTTCTTAATGTATTCGAAATCATTACATTAAATGCGTTTGAACTATATAATTTATTATTAATGCGAAAAAAATTAAAAATTTTTTCTGCAGCACTTACAATAGTCAAAGTATCTGTTCGAGGATATCTTAAAGATCTACAGTTTTTTTATCAATAAATTTACATGTTACTTCCTCACATTCGTTTAACAGTGTACAACACGTTTAACATTTAATAGAATTTAAAATCTTTTTTTCGACGTATCCTGCTATGTACGTAATTGCATAACTATTGGCCGAATTAATATGTAGCAGTGGTATATCATCAATTAAAATAGAATTATTATTTGAATCTTTATTTTCCATATTCGGGGGGTAGTTGATGTTTTGTGCGATGAAACATTTAAGATAGGAATATCATCTAATGGAATACAATTTCCCTGTGTAGAGGATTTAATTTCATTGTGATGCAAAAGGCGTTTATATGAAGCTATAAATTGCTTGACATTGGGATTATTGTTATATCCTCCCATTGCTCGAATACATGAAAAGAACATTTCCAAGTGATCTTGTGATAACTTGTAAGAAAGAATATACTGCAAATATCTTGTCTCTACGTATTCGAAAAATAAAAACTGTAGATTTTTCATATCTATAATAATTCCCAAAAAACCGGTTTTAGATGTTGTTTCTATCACTGGTTTATCGTATAATATAATATTTGATAAATATTTAATAGATGTATCAAAAAAAGAAAAAATTTCTTCCACGTTATTTTTAGACAATGGTTTCTTAAATGTACTGCAAAAAAAATTTCTTGAATTAAGACAATCAAAAATATTGTTTATTATTCTACAAAATTGAGCCGTGGGAATACAATCTATAAAATCTGGATGACCATCATCATGTAACAGCTCTAAGGCCGTAGCACAACTCTTACTTAAAGTTTGCACGGCTAGTTTTACGTTCATTTTATTTTTATACCATTGTATATGTTTACAAGTCAATTTGTTTGCCAAATGAAAGCAACCATTGTTTTGAAGCTCGAAAAGTTTTACTACAAATTCCCATTTGATTGTATTACCATCACCATCATACAGTATTTTTTTAGAAGCCAAAGTATTTCTAACTAATTTAATCATGTGACAAGCGTAAAAAATAATTGGAATCTTATAACCATAAGTTGGATGCAAAATACTATCACAATTATCATTTGAATTTAAGTATTTACACATGCTAACATTTGATGATAGTCCATCAAAAGTTAAAGCTATGATCTGAATTCCACAATTATCTGTGGAAGTAAGAACTGCCTTTGTAATTTCACCTCGTTCTTCTTTAGTAAGCCCGTTAACAAAAAAGTATGCAATTGGTAATTTCCACCTTTCGTTTATACCGTTTAATAAATATACCAATGCTTGCTTAACTACAGGTACACGTTCATCCTCGTGAGTAGGTAATTCTTTTTCCACAATTCCTGCGATTGTTTTTTTTTTATTATCCCAAAATATTTGTCTTCTAATGGACATTTCGTCCATGATGAGGCACGCATATAATTTCTTACCACCTGCATTGTCGCTTTTTCTTTTCAATATTTGTACTGCTTCTTGAGTTAAACCTGGTGATCCGTTAATATTACTGTACCAAGCACAAATTGTGGATGACGCTGGTAATTTATTATGGAAAATACTTCTAATGTAATTATATGCCTTTGGACTATAGAAATTTAAAGTTAATGCGGAAGCGCGTAATTCTGCAGAATATTTGCTCTTTCCTCCATTTTTATTTGTATAATAATATCAATATCTTCAGAAATTCTCTAAAAACATAAAAAATAAATTTATATAAATACTGTCTTTATAAGATGTGTTAACAAATTGAGTATTATAATAACATCCATAATAAATACAATTTTTGTGATAAGATATTACGTCAATAAGATAATCTGACTTTAAATTATTAGATATAGGTTTTCAGATCTTATGTTATAATTTTTATTATTATTAAAATGTAAAGATAAGGAAAATTTTTTAGATTTTTTCATAGCTACATTATTGCTACATTATTAAATAATATTATTTAATAAAGTTGTTTGAAACATTTATATGTGTAAAGCATATTTTACATTAATGATATTAATGTCATCAATATAAAATATTTAAAAAAATAATAATGAAATGTTACAATATAATATTGAATAAAAATATAATATTGAAACGTTACAACACTCTCTGTCTGAGTACTACAAGGAGTAATGATTTTGAAGACCTGACATTAAATGTCGAGGGATATTACAGGCAGGGACATTAAATGTCGAGATATATTAGAGTATATAAATTTAGTTATGTTTGTGGCGCAGCTTTATTATAAATATAGATTATTTCTAAATATTATATTATACAGATCTGTATAAAATTAGATATATCATTCATGTAATTATATACAAATGTTTCGATGTCTTATTATATATATGTCTGTAGTGCGCTAATGTAGATCAAAATTAACATTAATATAATCAGTATTAATATAATAATATAATAAGATCAGTAATAATAATTCCACCAATGTTGAAGATTACAATTAACATTGGTTGAACTGGGCCTAAGTCATTACAGAAATGTAATAACTCATGATTATTGATTACAATTATAATTTATTCTGCGTTCCGTTATTCACTGCAAGTACAAAAAATCTATAATTCATGTTACATATACTACAGTATTTGCAGTGAACATCGTAACACAATTTTAGTACATTATATACAAAAATTAGATATGTATATATGAATTTAATTTTTATTTACCTGTAATGTCTTGCAACAATCAGAAGGGAGACTATATTTTTGTTTTAAATCTGTTAATAATGTGCTTAAGGTGTGTACTCTTTTTTGTGAACGTGAAAGTTCAGTTCGCAAACGTTTTATAATGATATCTTTTTTTCTTGTCACTTCTTTAAGCCTTTTAACGACTTTTATTATTTCATCTCGACACATATTTTCTATTATAGCATCCGATATGTCTCCAAGATATCTTATCTTCTTAGTTGTAGTAGTTTGAACCACATTGCATTCCTCAATATTGGAAGAGAATGCAATTTCTTCGTTGCAAGAATGATTTGCTGGTGTTTCTTCAATATTTTTTGGTAGCTCATTTAGATTAATTTCATAAGCTTCATTGTATTTCTCTGAATTGTTAAAATCTTGATTAATTAGCTCGTTTATTTGACATTCTTCAATTTCTTTTTCAGGATTCAATTCTTTTTCATTGTCAGGATCAAAATTGTCTCTATTTTTAGGAATTTCTCTCCCTTTATTGTAAAAATATTCAATTAATAAATAATTTTTTTTTTTAAATAGATGCTCTTCAAATTTCATAAAATTGTTTCACAAAATATTAAAAATAAAAAGAAATACAATTTCTTGATTCGAATAAATCAAAACATAAAAGGTTGGGCAACGAGCCAGATATAAATACAAATGAATATTTAATAAAATATTAGATTACAAACAACAAACGTTTCGACTCCGATCGGGTCATTCTCAATGTTAAATACAATTTTAAAACTCACAATATAATAACGTCGGAATATATAATCATAAAATAATCATATTGCTAGATAGATAGACATGATAGTTTACATTTACTGCAAGAATTAATATGTATTAATGTTAAGAAGAAAATAATGAAAATAGTAACGACTCATTATTTTGAGTTACAAGTAATTATAATGAGTAACTTTTTAGAAAAAGGCAAAGTAACTATTTTGTTAACCTTGTTTATTATAAATCTTTTTTATTATACTTTACCTTTCTGCATTCGGAAATATATTTGGAACAGCATTCTTTCTTAAACGAACGGTCTGTAGTCCAAATTGTTCAATTTGATCTTCTGAAAAATGTTTTACACAGATTCTGCTGTACTTAGATGGTTTTATAGCATTACTTTGCTTATTTAAAATAAGTAATGCGTTTATCCATTTTTCTTTGATCTTTGTATTACTGGGAAACCTGAAAAGATATAAATAAAAGGTTATTTTTTTCTACAATAACAAAATATATACATATATATATTTTATATATGTATTTATATATGTATAGATTTATTTATTTAAGATTAATTGTAACTTACCCATACATAGGCACAATACGTTTATGTTTCTCGGATTTCCCTTTGTATTTGCTTGAAATGCAGCCTTCGACGAAGCAATATGCGACCATCTCGATTTTTTTTTGTCACGAATAGTTTCAGCTTTGGAACTCTGAACTGCTCTGAGCACGTCTTTGACTACAGTCAAAGAAGCACGTTCAAAGGTGTCATGTGCCCTATCAGCTGTGATGTTAGTTCACGAATTCCTCAATTGGTCGAGGGGGGCGCGACACATCTTGACAACAAGTCTGAAGTTAGTGCTAGCAGTCCATATTATATAGTCAAAGATGTTAACAGAAATCAATTAAGAGAGAATTACCAATGTGAGCCAACACAAAATGTCATATATTATAAATCATAAGTATATATTACAGACGTTTCGACATCATTATTATGTTTGCTTCAAATATATAAACCATATTCTAGATATAGTAAGCAACTTTACTTTATTTCATTGGGACGCTTACTATATCTAGAATATGTTATTCCTACATTTAATAATGATGTCGAAACGTCTGTAATTTCTGCTCATGATTTATAATATTGATAAAAAATACTATAAATATAGTATAATTATTATATGAATGTATAAGAAGTAAAAACAGTGTGTGTAACTGTCAATTAATGTAAGGCAAGATTGTTTAATAGGGCTATTGTTACCAACGCCGATTAACTTAATCGATTAACTCAAGCAATATAGCTAACAGCAAGTCTGTATATCGTTCTTATTATTATGTTCATGATATACTTTAATCTCTGCGTTCCTACTTAATTATGTCTATAATACAATGACTGCTGATTGAGTATCGAGGTTGGTAACAGTTGCTCTTAGAATATTATAAATGTAGTTATAATATATAATAATTATAGTAATATGAACCAACAGGAAGTCTGTATATCGAGGTTGATAAATTCGACGCATTTTTGCACTATCGCAAACCGAGTTATTAATTGTTATTGTTATAATTAAAGAGTTGACAGATATCCAGAAATCTGTTGCATCGATGGCATAAAGGAAAACAATTCTGCTTTACATTCTGCTTTACAGACAAATATGTGTCCTCTATGCCATCGATGTGACAGTTTTCCTAACCTAA